GTCTCTATATGAGTGATTATATATTTTAGTTGTATATACATTAGATGATAGAATATTTTCAATATTTAAAATCAGTTTTACAGCTGAATGCATTAAGAAAGTTATTTCACTACCTACCAGCAAATATGACATTGGGAGGGGATAAAGAAGATCTAACATGAATAATGACTTTTTTGTTTGTTTGTTTTTTGAGACAAGGTCTCTTTTGGTAGTTCAAGCTTGGCCTTGACCTCACTATATAGCCCAGTCTTGCCTTAAATACAGGGTGATCCTCCTGTGTCATCCTCCCGAGTGCTAGAATTACAGGAGTGGGCCACCACATCCTGTTAATAGAGATTTAAGTAAGGCTAGTTGTGAACTAATCAAAAGTATAGAAATACTTTCTTTATTCATTGGGCAGTTGAATTACAGAATTAGAAATGTAAAAATTCCATACATTTTAAGGTGTTGATTTAGTTTCAGTTTAAAAGATGCTGCTAAACACTCAGAGAAGTAAATTAAAATATTTCTAAATGAAGGCTACCTGTCAAACAAAGGACAAACACACCAGGCTTTATTTAAATATACCTGTAAATTCACCTAATCTTTCAAATGTTAATAACATTTGTATGTGTATACTACCATGCTAAGTGATGAAAAGATAGAGGGTTATAAACAATTTTTTAAGCTGTACAAATTCATGAGAAAGACAGGAAACTGCCATAGAAGACATTAAGACCTGGCATCAACTACTTTGATTCTACAGGTAACTAACAATAATTGACCCTATTTCCATGTGATAGAAGTTGAAATATGATACATGTCAAAATGTAGCATGAAAGTATCAAAGTAAAGGGACTAAAACTAAGGGAGGAATAGGGTATTATACTTCATGCAATAACTAATATGATCAAAGGGTTAACATTAGAAAGAAGGAACAAGATGATGGAGTCGCCCTGAGCACACAATGTATACAGCCATGTGAAAGTCCTAAAAATGCAGGTTCACTAGAGTATTGAAAAAATTTTAATGCTGAGATAAAGAGTACTGGTGATATTTAGCAAGTCTGTCAAATAAGCAAAAATCTCAAAGCCTGGAGTAATATGATGAGGTAGTAAACTATAGGAAGAGTGCTTTGATGGAAGACAGTGAAAAGAATGACAGATAATTGTGGAGACCAATTGGAAAGTTATATTAATTTAGATGAGGACAAGTGAGATAAGAACAGTGGAATGAATAGAAAGCAAGAGGAAAAAATACTGTGAAAGTAAATGCTTATTAGAACAGATAAAATAGATGAAAATATCAGCAACTGTGACTGTTATGGATTTTTACTTCTGTGGTGGATAGTCTAAAATTTTCTTTCCTGGATTGTCATTCTGGCATGATTATCAGAATAATACAGCCCAATTGGGCTGAAATGCTGTCGTGCCCACTTTACTTTCTGGAAGAGTGTACATAGGATTAGAATTATTTACTTCTTGAATATTTAATAGAGTTAATAAGTAAAGTGATGAATTCAATTATTTAGCAAACAGAGTTATTTGTATTATCTGTTTCTTTTAGAGTAAGATTTGTGAGTTAGTGACTGAAAGCAATTGCCTATTTTATTGAGTTTATAAAACTATGGGTCAGTTATTTGTAATGTTTCCATAGTCTTCTAATGTTGATATATTTGATGTTTCTTTTATGACACTGGTCATTTTTATTCATGTTTTTCAGAATCAATTTAACAAAAGATCTATCAGTTTGAATAATCCTATCAAAATATCAGCTTTTGGTTTTGGTGGCTTTCTTCTATCAGTTTTATAATTTCCATTTCACTAATTTCTCTTTTTATTTCCTTCTACTTGATTTGAGTTTCAATTGTACCTATTTTTTGGTATAATTCTACTGTGCAAGGTTGATTTGAGACATTTCATTTGTGATAAAATGATCCAGTGCCTGTTGGTGGGAGTGCAGAAAGGTGCAACCACTGTGGAGATCAGTCTGGAGATTCCTCAAAAATCTGGGATTGGAAGTCCCATTCGACCCAGCTATTCCACTTCTAGGCATATTCCCAGAAGAACTGAAAACTTCATATCAAATGAGATATGCACACCCATGTTTATAGCAGCACAATTTGTAATAGCCACATGTTGCAAACAACCTAAGGGTCCATCAACTGAGGAATGGATAAAAATTTGTGGTATTTATATACAATGGAGTACTACTCAGCTATAAAGATGGATCACATTGAGATATTTACTAATAAATGGGTACAATTTGAGACATATTCATAAGCAAAATAAATCACATGTATAAATACCATATACTCTCCATAGTGTAAGAAATAGTAAGAATGCATAAGAGTTTATGGTAATCATGATTCCCCATTACATTGCTTTGAAGCCTTATAATGATTGCATTCATTAGTTGGAGTGGGTGTATCCTGGTATGTTTGATTTTTTTTTTATCTGTAATGGTATGAACAGCTATTTTGAAGAAAACAAGTCATTATAATGGCCAGTATTGATATAATTTCATCTTATTCTGAAGTCCTACCATGCTTTTGCTCTTCTATTTCCATTAGCTCTATCATGGTGTATCTTACTGGATTGTATTACGTGTGATAGTATAAACAAACTTTCTATGGAAAATGAGATAACATAGTAGCCATTGTTTGTTTTCTTGTTATTTGTTTCAGACTGCCCTGGAATACATCTCTTGAATGGTTTTATACTATTTTGTTATGTTTGATACTATTGTATATGAAGTTATGCTCAACTATTTCAAAGAAAGAGACATTGTGGTAGTTACTGTTAATTACAGGTTGTCTTCTGGTGAAATACTGTGTTGCTTACATTGTTCTGTTCTGATCTGCTTCGTTATGTCCTGTTTTGTCTTAATCTCTTTAAAATAAAAAAAAATGGGATACAAAAATGAAGTTATCCAGTGTTTTAACTGAATTTCAGCCAGGGTTTTGAACTATTCTGTAAATTTTGATCCATTTTAAATTAGTAATACAAGAATATCCATCGATATAGCTCAGAGGTACAACACCTGCCTGGCAAGTGCAAGGTTGTGAGATCAATCTCCAGTACAAACAAATGTATGCTTCCATTTAGTTGTCATAAAAATGATTTGATATTAGTAACAGAAGATATGATTATAATATATTAGAAATGAAGAAATGAAGCCTTGTGGAATATTCACATACATTTTGAAATCAGTTTTTAAAATACTCTGCTCTTTGCCATGAGGATTTGGGAAATATTTCACAAATTTGAGATATATACGAATTGAAAAAACAAGATAATGTTTTAAATACAGAAATGAAATAGAATCTTTTTGGAGAATAGGGTGGCTGTTTATATACTACGGTGAACTGGAACTACTGATGTGAAAAATAAGGGAATGTCTTGTTAAAGTTTTATGCTTTGATGCACCCTGAAATGTACCCCTAAAGATTATTTTATTCAGAGAAAAAGCAATTATATTTTCTACTCCTAAATTAAAATGGATTAAATATGGTTTCATTTTCTTCCCACATACATAGTTAGATAGAAATATCTGATCTAAGAAAGCCACAAGGAGCAAACAAGATAAGCTGCTGGAGACAGTCCAGTGGTTCTTGGAGGTGGAGAATCCATGAGGACTTCTTATATGACAGTCGTAGAATCCAGAAAAACCCTGGCAATTATGCATTCTGATTCATTACATTTTATAAAAATATATTTGCATTATTTTAGAGTATCAGAGTATTAGTAATAGATATACAAAGATACTCTTAAGACAGAAAGTAGAATTATTACTGGCAAATTCTGATAGAAATTGTAGAATATATAAGAAATAATCACAGTATTTTCCATATCAAGTTTACACAGAAAATCTTTTCCAAAATCGCTGTTTGAAAAAGTGCTGAAATTTGCTCATCATCAAAGCTGATATACGTGAAGTATTGTTACACATTGTCTTCTTTAAAAATGAGAACAATAAATAAAATGAAGGCCAAACATGAAATGTCACAAAAAATAATGTGAAATCATGACACTTTGGAAAGGGAGCAGCAGTTGCAGATCTAGTCGAGTGGCTTTGTTTCTGAAAAGAATGTGCTGCAGAATTAGAAGGAAATATTTTTAAAAAGAGTAACTTTTGCAAAAGCACTCCAAAACTGGTTTCTGTAAAACAAGTTATTTAGAGAGAGACTTTTCAGATGGAATAGTTAATAGTGAATTAAAAATTTTTAAAAGATTCTAAGTAAATTAGAGATTATATTACAAGAATGATAATTTACTGACATTCCTCAGGAAAAAAAAAAAAAAAAAGGACTTTAATGATGATGTACAAGAAAAACTTGAGCGGATACACCAGGAACAAAACATCAAAATAGTTGGAGATTTTCACTGTACACTTTTGGTCTCTGATATTTCAGTTAAGCATAAAAATACATAAAGAAAAATAGGAAAATTTGATGAATTTCATGGATTTCCTTTGTAAATAAATGCCCTAAATAAATGAGGACACACAAAGCATTTATCAATTGCTAGGTGGTTAAATGTCTCCTAGGCGACATTTTCATATTCTGTTAAAATGAAGAATTCTTTATGCAGAATATCTGACTAATCTAATCAGATCTTTCAAAATAAATTATATATGTATATCCCCAACCTACTGTGACCAAGAAATGCTTACTCAAATAAATTTGGAAGATAGCTAGAAAAAACAATGTAATATACATTTTATTCCTTGATTACTTCTGAGTCACTTTTATGCAATGTAAGACCATGCAACTGTTTATACAAATTATTACTATCTGTCACACAGTATTCGTAACTGTTTAGTATGCATTTATTTTATAATTCTTCTAATTCCATGAGCTGAATACTGATAGTTCCTCTATTTTACTAACATAGAAACTAACAAAAACTGGGATTAAATAACTTGCTTCTATTTGTACAGCGTGATTTCAGGATCTAGAATTCAAACAATCTGGTTTAGAGTCTGTTTTATTAATAACAATAAAAACAGGAAGCAGAGAATATAGGGCCCATTAACTTTTTTATTTTGAAATGAACCTAATAATATTCTGTATCATTAATGTTTCACAGAACATAATATGGAAAATCACAATCTGATTTAGGTAGATTTAATAACATACAAATATATTCAGAATTTATATAATTGTATATCTGAAAATCAATAATACAGGAAATAATTATAGAATTTGAACATTTACTAGACAAGACATTTCAAATATTTTATTAGAAGAAATACAAATAGAATATATATTCTGTATTCTTTGATAACAATAAAATAGGAGCTATTGTCTGTATTAGCTATGACATAATTGCTGCTGCTGATGCAAGGTCTCAAAATAATGGGCCTTAAAAAAATAGGAAAAGTTCATTGGTCTCTCAGCTCTTTCAAAAATCACTAGACTGGACAGATCAGCTACTTGGTGTCAGGGACCTCGGCTTCTTCTATTTGCTTATGCTACCCTTCCGCTTCCTGATCCACCTTGGGGTCCAAGGTAGTTGCCCCAGTTTCTCTCTTCTTTGAGTCAGCAGCATTGCAGGATCAAGAAGAAGATGCATGCTTTTTCCTTCAAAGTAACAGTTGCCATCATTTTGTCATCCAAGCACTTTCAGGCACCTATTTTCGTGCAATGTAGTGCCATGGCAACACTCACGGATATAGGATGCTGAGGAGTGGTCCTCTTTAGATCAGTGACAATGTACTCAGCTGAAAAATATATAACCTTGTCAAAGGACGCTGACAAAATCAAGAGTGCTGCGATAGCATGTAGCCATGGCTACTAAAAGGAAAAATTTCTCCTAACTCAGATAAAAGATAAAATCAAAATTATAATTACAGAGGGTTTAAAACTGGTGGGATGCTGCCAAAGCTATAATCATAAGAAAATTTAATGCTTTATGACGATATTAATCAAGAAAGAAAGAAAATAAGTGAGTGAATCATTCCAGTCAAGAAGCTACAAATAAATCTTTTAAATGAGTACAGAAAGACAGGGTGGAATTAATAAAGATACAATGGTAGATTAATAATTTATAAATGAGAAAAAACAATTGAATATAAATTTGAATAGTGCACTTCAAAACACCATTAAAAGAGACAAATTGCCGAAACTGCAAGTAAATAAAAAAAGGATATCAGTTCTTATCACTATATCACTATATCACTATAAAGAGAAAACATAATCACAGATTTAAAAAAAAGGAAGCTGATAATCAGAAGTCTACACCAACACCTAATACAGTACCTGTCAGACTACCTGACTTGTCCCAGGAACTTCATTTATTAATTCGTAGAAAATGGCTCACTACAGACACTTGTGTATAAAGTAATTGATAAAAAAAAAAGAAGTAACAAAATCAACCTAAGAAAATGTTAGAAACACAAATCATCAAAAGAAGACAATAAATGTTTTTAGCCCATTCTAAGTACCAAGGGCTTTACATGTGTATTTTTAAAATTGATTTAACTTTCATAATCCTAGAAGGAAACAATATTTCAGTTCAAAGGTGAGAAACAGATATTAAAAGGTTAACAATTTGCTCTACCTCATAGGTAAATGACTGAATCGACCTGTACCAGTTTCTACCCTGAAACTGATGCTGTTTGCACTCTGTACTTCTTCATTCTTTCTAAGACTTTTCCTTTCCAAGAACATCATTCTAAGTGCCTCATATGTGAGGAGATACATTTTATCTTTTTTGTAAGTTTAAATTTTAGGGCCTCGTATAAAATTTCCCATGAAAAAAATTGCAAGATTTCTCTTAGGTCTCTGAACAAATAATGTTGTGGAGTTTTTTGGGGTATTATTTTATGTGGTACCAGGGATTGAACTCAAGACCTGGAGCTTGCCAAGCAGGCACTTATGCCACTGACCTTAACTCCTGGCCTCCAAATAATGTCCTTAATGAGCTAGTTTATCTGTCATATATTTCTGGTTATTAAATTAACTCTGTTTCTCCTTCTTCATCGATGATAGGAAGATCAAAAAGCAGATGCCAACTTATCTATAAAACTGTGATATCCCCTGTGTGGTTTTGAACTAATTTTATGTTTTATTATTGTATAACCTATTTTTTTTTCTTTACACTTGATTTTTGATGCCTTTATTATACCCATAATGTTGTGTATATATTTGAAAGTCATTTAAAATAGTATGTGTATACAGTTGTACATATAAAAAAACCTAAACTAATCAATTATTTTCCTATTGTTTGTTAGTTGTTTTCATTGTATTTTTCTGTTTTGCTAACATGATTTACTAGTATTCTTTGGCACTAACAGTGTTATAGATTAAAAATTGGTGGTCAGCTTAACCCCAGCTGAATTAAATCATCATGGCGCTGAAAGTAAATAGAGATGTGCAGAAGAGTTAGGCATTGTGGGTTCTCCTAAATGTTGCTATTTTAAGCTGTTGGTTCCTTTGGGAGGAGCTCTTCATGACTAGCTTCCCCACTGTGAGTTCCACTATTGTCATCAAAGAGGCTCAGAACCTTGTTGGTAAGAGTGGCTGTGGTTCACTTTGGGGGAGCTCTGGTGCTTACATTGAGCATTGCTTCCTGACTCTGGAGAGGAAGATGTGTGCCATTTAATCTCCAGGAGAAACTCTCAGCCTGGCTTTCTGGCAGGTACTTGACTATTCTTATCATTGGAGGATTTCAGGACCTTCGTGTCACTGAGGATGGCTGTGATACTTTTCAGGACAGCCCTGGTCTTATTTTGAGTGTGACTTCTCGGTTCCAGTGTAAAACCCTCAACCTACCAGTACAGCAACTTCATTCTACTGGCACAGACTTTCTAGCTTCCACCGCGGACCTTTGGACCATAAAACAGACCAGTGTGAGTCCTTCTCGTGGGCTCTAGACCTCCTGTTGGACTCATGGAAGGCATTGTCATGGGCTCTAGGTTTACTCATGCGGGACGTTGCTGTGGAATATTTGAGTCTTTAGTGTTGTGGACAGATTTCCTGCACTTTCTGTGTTTAACTCTGCTTGACCATCATAAAAGAATATTAAAAATTCTGTGTCCTGATTCTAATTGTTCTCCTCACAAATCCTGACTACAACAAACAGTGTTGAAATGTTCTATTCTATCACCAGCAGATATGTGGTAGATTTGTCTGCTAGGAAAAAAAGAAAAAAGAAAGAAATGTATTTTCTGCTCGCAAAAGGAAAAGAACAGAACCAACCCATTAAATGAAAAATAAATAAATAAATAAATACTCTTTATACAGAAACATATTTTGAAACATATTATAACACAGGGAAGCTATAGTAGCAAAAATTTGTGAATGAAAACATTCAATTATAAATTATCTTGATACACAAAAGGATAAGACTACATGTATTTCAAAAATAGGATTAAATTGACTAATGAGTAAAACAAGACATGATAAATATCTTAGACATTATGGGGAGTAACGTACACAAAAATATGACTAAAATAAACAAAATAGAAAGACGAATAAAATACATGAAAGTTCTTATAAGAAGTTCTGAGGAAGAATATACAGGCCAAATTGTACATCAATACAAAATGGCACACTGCTTAAATACAAAAGAAAAATAAAATAATAAATATTGAAATAGAAACATTCCCTTTAGAAAGTATCAAGATTACAATATGGATTTAAAAGAAATAATAAACCAGAAGACAACCAAATAGTATACTAAGTGCTCGATATTAATAGAATTCCCAGAGAACGTACTCTTCAAAAGTTAAAAGGAAATAGATTTTTGTTTGATAAATCTGTGTAGAAATAATTCATTGTTATTAAGGTTAATGTTTTTTAATAAAGCAACACACATAGAGCAATCTTTAGCAGAAAAATTATCTTAGAGAAATTATTAGGAAAAGAATAAAAAAGTTGGGGCTGGGGATTTAGCTCAGCGGCATAAGTACCTACCTTGCAAGCAGGCGGTCATGAGTTCGATCTCCGGTACCGATAAAAAGGAAAAAGACAAAAAAAAAAAAAAAAAAAAAAAAAGAATAAAAAAGTAAGTACATCTATAAATATAAATGAATATGACATTAAGTAACAATGCTACTAATGGCTAATGGCTTAGAAAATTATAGGCGACACAAACTTAAAATACATCCAGAAAAGATGGGTGTGGGATAAATTGAGGAAAACTATTCCAAGATCCTTGTATTACTTGGGCCTGAAACACCAATAATAAACACAGATGTGTGTTTCAATGAGCTATGGCGACTCCCCCAAAACACAAAATGTGTAAATAGCAAAGTAACAGAACATAGAATAGTAATATATAATTGATTAATCTTAAAGAAGAGAAGAAATGACATAAAAATATAAAGCAATTGATTTAGATAAAAATAGTAGAGCAAAATACTTCTAAACATCTCATCAGTAAGTAGATTATTTATTAGTAAGTGAACTATCCTGATTAAAATATTAAAAATAATGTAACTATGCTTTTTATTAGAGATCTACCCTAAACATAAGAATGCAGAAGCAGTGACTGTAAAAAGATGTGAAAAAGAAATACTATAAAATGTTTTTCAAAAAGAAACAATATTACATGTTTGCAAGATAAATTTAATCCTGAGATTAGAAGAATTCTAGAGTGGAAGAATGTTTTACATTTATAACAGCCCAAAAAATAAAATATACAATTTTATAATTGTATACACTCAATAATATAACATATATATAATATATACAAATATATGCATACAGATATTTGTGGGTTTTTTTTTTTTTTGGTCTTTTTCCTTTTTATCGGTACCAGGGATCGAACTCACGACTGCCTGCTTGCAAGGCAGGCGCTTATGCCGCTGAGCTAAATCCCCAGCCCCACATACAGATATTTGAAAAAGAATCAGAAAAATGTATGCATACATCAGGAAAAGAAAAATTGCATGATTTTTTTCAACAGATAGTGTTACTTTCATAGAGGAGACACTTTTTCTATCTCAGCAGAAAATCTACTGCACTGCCAGCACTTAGAGTAGAAACTGAAAATGCAAGTGCAGAAATTACAGTGACCAAGGTTACCAATCAACAGTTTACCACAGTAATAAATGTTTGGAAGTTAATGCACCACTTTGAGCACTTCTTGTAATTGCAGAGGTCAACGATACCTTGTATTAATCTCATGATATCTCAAAAGAAATTTACTATTAAAATATTTATGAGTTTTTCTTTTCCTGAATGGAAGTTATATATATATATATATATATATATATATATATATATAACTATAGATAGGTAAACAAATAGATAAACACTGACAGAAAAAATTCCAAAGGTATATGAGAATTAGCCTCACCACTAATCATAGCTTGTAGAAAAAAATACAAGAAAAAATTAAATTGCAAGAATATACAAGATCTGAAAAACATGATTTATTAGCACAAACTGAGAAGCACACATAATTATGATAAATATATTACCTTTAAATATATATTAACAGATGTAAAATAATTGATAATACAAAGAATAGGCCATTGACCTCTATTGAATTAAGCTACAAAATAATAACATAAGTAGAAAATGTCCAAATTTGAAAATTGAACAATTTACTTTACAATAGTACCATAGTCCCGATGGAAATTAGCAACCTCGAGCACTGAATTACAATGAAGCATATCAAGATTATGGGAATGCAGTCAGAGTAGTGTTTGTTAGAGACATATTTGTGGCTTTAAATTCATATATTAGAAAAGGAAAAGGACTAAGAATCAACATCTAAGCTTTTATTTCAAGAAGTTAGTAAAGTGACCACCTTAAACACAAATTGATAAAGTACAATAATAAAGGTAAGAGAAAAAAATCAATGAAATAAAATATTATAGCATAAAAGAAAAATTCACCAAACTGCAAAGTTGGTTTCTGTTTTTGAACAATAAAATTGCTATCTACAAGCCCGATGCAATAAATAAAAGAAGCCTCACTTACAAGCAATAATAGGAGCATAAATAAAGATGTAACGATGGGTCTTACTGATATTAAAAAGATTATGAATAATGTGGATGACTTTATACAATGTGCTTGTAATTAAGGAAAAATGGGCAAATTCTTTGAAATACAATATTTAACAGTTTTCAAAACAATATACAGGAGTTTGAGCAATTCTGTATTTTAAATTTCACTCAAAATTTTAAAAAATTTCCACATAGATCCTGTCAAGTTGAATTTAATTTCTAAATTTTTAGGAAGAAATTATATCACTCCTATATTTTTTTCCAGAAGATGAAAAACAAAAAAAAAAAAAAAAAGAAAGGAAACATATTTTATTTCTTTATGAGGCTAACAAAAATTTAGTACTAAAATCTGGCAACAGTATTGCAAAAAATAGAGTAATGACTCAACCTCTTTCATGAAAAAATTATAAACAAAGGGGCCGAGGGTTTAGCTTAGTGGTGTAAGTGCCTGCCCTGGCCAAGTGTGAGGTTGTCAATTTGATCCTAAGTGCAAAAAAAAAAAAAAAAAAAAAAAAAAAAAAAAAAAGAAGAAGAAAAGAAAAGTCATAAGCAAGATATTTGCAAATCAAAGAGAGAGATATTCACGAATATAGGGATACTCAGGAATCTGTTTAATTCTATGCATTGTAATGGCATTTTAGCAATCAAATCAATACAACTGACAATATAAAGGTGAAAGCTCAGAAAAGTATACCAACAAATTAAAAAGTTAAATGTTACTCATTAAAAATCTATTAGTAAACAAAGAACAAGTGAGATCTTCTGTTGGAAATTGATCAGCTGATTTTAAAATTTGTGTAGAATTGCAAAGATTTAAGATTAGCCAAGACAGAATTCTAGAATACAAAAGCAGACCAACTTTAATGAACAGTTATCATATCTTAGTGTCAAGCTATAGCAATTATGACTGTATAGTATTGACAAATACGAGTCCTGTGAAAAATTAGCATCCAAAAACATTCACAAATACATGTGGACATATGAAAAAGGTGTTACGTGAATAGCCATATAGAAAAATGGTATAGCTTGACAAGTTCTAAAGTGTAGATTGGAGTGGGTATATGTCTGAGCAGTAGAACACTTGCCTATCATGCTTGAGGCCCTGTATCTGACCTCTAACAAACACACACAGACACACACACACACACACACACACACACACACACAAATGAATAAATACAGACATGAAGATCAAAATTTTTAAATTAAAACAAGATTAAGAAAATAAAATATTTTGTGGGAAAAGATTTATTAATCAATATGGTATTAATTTTATATGAAGAAAAAACAATTAACTGGTAACAATTATATAAAATTTCTACACTAAAAATCAGAATACCTCATGATTTAAAATTATCACTATGAATTTAATATAATGGAGTACTACTCTACCATAAAGAAGGATAATCTTGAGACTTTTATTGCTAAATAGATTGACCTTGAAACCATATTCTTAAGTGGAATAAATTAGGCACACATATGTAAATATCACATTGACTTACTGTTGTGAGAAACTGAAAGAACCAAATTGTACAAGAGATACGGCACCTAAGGATAGGAAAGGGGTCAGAGAAGGAAGGTAAAATGAAAAATGAGAAAGGAAGGATAAAATGGAAACAAAGCTGTACAAATAAAGAGGGAAAGAGGGAATAAAGGGAGGGGGAGAGGAATGAGAGGAAAAAGAAAGACAAATCATGGTATATCATGTACAGGTACAAATTCTGTGCACATGATATGCCTTGAAAGTGTCAAATGAGATCACCATATATACCTAAATTGTATCAATAAGCTTAATTAAATAAAAAATTTAAATGGAAGTATAGAAAGCAGAATCAATCAATGTGAGAACAGAATATCAGATTTACAAGACGGGTTTGTGATTTCTTAAAAATAGCAAGATATCATGAAAAATCAATCCAACAGCTGCTAGAAGAATCAAAAAAAGAATAGGATTGACTGGAGTCAATGAAAAGCCAGATGAAAAAAATCAACACACATAGAATCAAAATTAAATCCAAGATATGAAAGACATGTGTTGTATGTGTGTGTGTACGTGTGTATGTGTATGTGTACACATGTATCTCAAAAGGAATTTTATTTAAGGACTTGCTGGACTTAAATCAATGAGGAAAAGTGTGCAATCTAATAGAAAAACTGGCAGTGACTTGTATAGACAATTCACAAATGAAAATACAGATGGATGTGACCCATGGATAGGACAAGAAGTAGTCATTTTCATTTAACATCAAGTTAATGCAAATTTAAACCAGATTAAGATATTTATTCACCAACAGAATGAACAAATGAAAAACAGAGATAATTCCAGTATTGGTGAGGATATACTACAGCCGAAACCTCTCGTAATGCTAGCACGAATATGAACTAGTAAAAGGATATTTAGACACTAGAGAGACAGTAGCTACCAATATTTCTGATTATGCATTACTCGCAATTGAACTCTATTTATTTATACTCAGCAGTAATTAGTATTCACAACTCTGAGTGTCTGTGTTGAAATTATCGCAGCAGTGTTATTCATTTTAACCACAAATTGGAATAAAAGGCTAAATATCAAAATGGGTAAGTCAATTATAGATTTATTTATTTATTTATTTATTTTGTCTTTTTCGTTTTTATCGGTACCGGGGATCAAACTCACGACTGCCTGCTTGCAAGGCAGGTGCTTATGCCGCTGAGCTAAATCCCCAACCCCTAATTGTATATTTTATTAACATAAGATTTAGAACTATAACTGATGGATAGAAATACATAATTTTTGTAGAGATATGAATAATATCCAAAGATATGATACTGGATAAAAGAAACCAGACAAAATAATGAATACTGCATTATTATATAATATAAAATTCAAAAGCAGGCAAACTTACCTATAATTCTAGAAATTCATCAGTACTTGTGAGTGTATTAATGTCTTGGGAGTACTAAAATATTGTTTCTGGTGTGTGCTTGATTTTCCAGTATTTGGTCTAGGAACTGAGTATATGGCATGTTAACTTTATTAAAATTCATCAAGAGAGAAAATGTAATATTTTATGCTTTTATATAATATATACCAATAAAAAGTGCTTAGAGTTGCAAAAAAATATTTTTATGTTATCCTACTAAAAATTTGACAGCACACTCTATGCCATAAACTTAATATTCCAATGCTTACATGATTTTCTTTATTTATCAAGTGAATTTAAATTGATCTTACATTAACTGCTACCAACTGTCATTATAGCACTTATTCATAAATGCTTTCTTCTCTGCTATTTAACTACAAACTTTAATACATTTTAAAAATTTTTCTACAAGTGATTTTTCTATTACATTCTATGGTTGTGAATTTTTAGATTGTTTCAGTATACCACTTTATTACTGATCAATTTTAAAATAGACAACATCTGTCAAGGTATTTTACATCTTTCGTACAGTAAGATTCATCAATAGACTCAGATGTTTATTTTTTCACATGAATTTTAATCATATTATTTAGATGATCTTTTATCATGCTTCTTACAAAGGAAATCATAAACATCACAATTTCTTAGGTAAGATTATTCACAATTATATTAGTATTGTGAAAAGAAAACATGTGAGGAGTGACCTGAGAAAAACTTGAGAAGCAAATTTTAATGTTTTAAAAAATATGGCTAGGACAGAGATCAGCTGAAATGCAGTAGGATTAAAGCAATGCAAAAGACCTGCAAGACTGCATAATAGGTGATGAAATAAAGGGGAGGGATATAAGATTAACCAAGTGGAAGACTGTGAAAGAAGTAATAAAGCATAATTCTACTGTGACATGTTTGGTATACGATGGTGTTAAAAGTCTTCATTTTTTTCTTTTTTTACATAGAAGAAGAAGTTTGGACTGCAGGACAATGAAAATGTGAGAGTTCACCTCTAAAGTGCTTGGAAGCTGCATATGTGGACATATAACTTGAGTTCAGAAGAAACAAGGCTACACTGAGAAAGACCTCAAGGTTTCTAGCATGTGTGGACAAAGAAAATCATTAGAATAACAGTACCTTTTTTGCAATAAAAGAAAAAAGGACAAAATCCATCAGAAGAGTTAGAAAGTACATGTATTATCTGCTACCTGAAAGATTCTAATACATTCTCTCAGGCATTAATTGCAGGCACCAGATTCTTGGTCATAGTCCCAGTTTCAACATCTTGTTCCTCAGATGATTAATAAATTGACTTGATTCCAGGCTTGTCCTTAAATCTTAGATTTCTACTATTTTTCTACTCTGTGTTCTACAGTCTAAATAAAATTCCCTTTCCCCTACTAGAAGACTGATCACCAAGCAGCATATTCTAGGAACTGCACTGAACCCATCTCTATAAATTGGAAGGAATATTAAAGTGTTAGTGATATAGAAACCAGCCAGAGAAGAACTACGTTGATTACATAGGTACTATCATTTTGATTGTCTTATTTCTTTTGTATCCTAATGATTTTTTTCCTATTGATGAAAATTAGTTCAGATACACTAATTCTAATTAATTTTGGAGCATCTTTGTGGGAATATATCAACTATCAATGTAAGGAGCATGTTTTAACATGTTTTACTTTGGAAGAAAATTCAGGTAGTTCTTCTTTAACACTGTGCCTTAACATTATAATATTATAGTATTCTTGTACATTTTATCAGAAGAGTGTCACTGGAATTCTGCACAAATCTTCTATGGTCCTCTTTTGCCTTTTCTCTTGTTTCTGTATTCTCTGAGCTCCTTTCTAAGTTCCAGAATTTAGACACATGAACATAATCACATAACTCCTAACATACAATCTACTTTAAACTCCCTCCACGAAGCATGTTTAAAATATATTTACCCCCTTTTCTCTCTCCTAATATTGCAATTCATCCTGTCAAGTTGTATCTAGAAAGCATGATTTCATTAACCATTAAAAGGAACTGCTCCATTTAAATTTGCTTTTTATGGAAACAAAACATATATACATATATATATATATATATATATATATATTTATATATGGTTGCAGTGGCCTAACTTTATAGCCTTCTCAGACTTTCAAGTAGAACTCTTGATAAATTTCACTAATTGACATTTTACCACATAATTACTACCCGTAGATAGAATCAGTTTTAGAAATTACACAACCAATCAATCTCATCACATTTAGAAGGGTTTAAATGTTTCATTTCCAAATATATTTCAAAAATATTGTTCATGGGATAAATGTCAAAAAGGTCAATTCCATAATAAGTAGAAAATATTTGATATCTGACTAGTGGGAAAGGGGATGGAAATAAGAAAAACTAAACATGATGTGATTTCTGAACAGCTACAAGTTTTAAATATTCCAAACTTACTTAACATAGTGCCATCCTATTTTTCTCTGATAGCTCTTCTCTCCTCTCCCTATCTTCTCTTTCTCCTTCCCTGCTTTGCTCCTCCTGCCCCAGTTTTATTCTTCAAATCCTTCAAATATAAATCTATACTAGCTGCATCAGTTACTACTCTAACCAGGTTTTGCTAACACTTAAGATTTTTGTTTTCTACAACTCACTACCTCCTAAAACTGTTTGGATTCACCTCAGCTCTCAGACAACAAATTAAAACACCTATACTCATTCAAGATCAAAAGCAAGCAGAATCAAGCTGCTCAGGGTGGAGCTACTGGACTCAGATTACCCCCCCCCCCAGGCAAACTTGCAGCCATCAACTTCTTCAGATCTCAGCTATTTTCTTGCCTCTTTGGTGATGGCACTGAGAAAGAGAGATTCCAGCAAAGACTCAGACCTTTCGCAGTTGTGAAAGTTTGAATCCTTTCAATGGTATCACCACATCCATTACCACAAATTTAAGAAACCGCACAGATCTATGATGGACACTGTGTTTACCTGCTGGCTCTGTTGAACACATAGAAACTCCAGCTTCCCTAGCATGTACCTGAAGGGGCCGGTAAGCAGCCTCAAATTCTGAGAGATGATGTTGGATGGACAGCTGATAAGAAATAAAAAGTAAAAAAAAAAAAAGAGTTTACAAATAAATTGTTTGCTTTCCCATTATCTGACTATTCCATATTGCAACAGTCTCATCAAACCTCTCTAGAGATTTCCAACAAAAATCAAAGGTCAACAGTGATGCAGAGCAGTGAACAATTCAGGTATGTGCTCTTTAACCTCAATTTTCTTTCATGTTTGTTTTTCTAGGAATATAACTCCAAGAAAGACATCCTTGGCCTCCGTTTCTGTTTTTCAGAGAAGCTTATGCAAGACATGAGCCAAATACCAGCAAAAAAATGAGGTTTTCAGGCCACAAATAAATCCTCAGGTATGCAAAATTGAAAGAAATGTGGAAAGATATATGGCAGAGAAAAAGTAATATTTTTCAAGCTAATGAAGTTCTGTTAACAGATTAAACAGATTTAGATGAAGACAAAAACCTAATCATGATTATAGAAGAGTAAGTGCATACTAGTTTAAAAAAATTCACCAGAAAGCTTTAATAATTCTTAATTAGTATTCAACCAACAAATTACCTTTAAAATACATACAGAAAAAAAAGTCTGCAACAATGACACAATAATCCCTTGTAAAAGTGAGACTTCTACTCACCTCTTTCAATTCTTGATGCATTATGCAGAAAAACTGAGAGATAAAGGTCACATTGACACATAATGTATTTCTGATAGCAATTTTTCTAGTAGCTAATTTTTAAAAGATTGGAAGAAGCCAAATTATCCTGTCTTTCAATTTCTTTTTCAATGTCTTACTACGTACTTCAGGCTAACTTTGAATTCACTGTGTATCCCAAGCATAGCTTGAACTTGCGCGATCCTCCTGCCTCAGCCTCTCAAATGCTGGGATTACAGGCATGAATCACCATCTCCAGCCCAAATCATCCTTTATGGATAACTAAAGAAAAGTTTTGTAAAGTCATTCAGAAGAGTATTTTGTAGTCATAAAAATAAGAAGTTATAGCAATGTGCAGAAAATGAAACTAAGAAACACAAGTTTAAGTGACAAAATCGTTAGATAGGGCAAAAAGACTTGATACCATATTGAGGCTCAGAATGTCCATATAGATTCATTGATGATAGAAACTCTTTTAAAAGGGAAGGCAGTGCAGGGGATTATAGCTTAGTGCCTGCCTGGCAAGGACAAGGTCCTGAGTTCAATTCCCAGTACCCAAAACAAAGCAAAGTAAAACAAAAAGTTAAATAAAAGCAAAAGTAGAATAAACCCAATAGCCAGTATACTAGTTACTTTTTGAGGTTAGCAAGAGTATGGGATTTGAAGATATAGAGACGACTTCAGTGATGTTGGTAATATTCTACCTGTAAAACGGTTTAGAAAATCTATATCTTCTTTATTTTCCTGCTTCACTGATTTTATGGATATTGCATGCATTATTATTAGGCACCAAATATTATAACATAATATGCAACATTTAAAAATTGGTTTTAAAGAACATATTTATGGAGTAGAGCAAGGTATATCTTTTGTTACTAATAAAATAATTTAGGAAAAATAAGTTTAAACAATACAATTATCAATATTTTAATTTAATTTAATTTTTTTTGTCTTTTACCTTTTTATTGGTACCAGGAATCGAACTCACAACTGCCTGCTTGCAAGACAGGTGCTCATGCCACTGAGCTAAATCCCCAGCCCCTTATTTTGTTTTTTAAAAAAACTTTTTTTGGTGCCGGGGATCGAACTCATGACCTTGCATTTGCCAAGCAGGCACTTATGCTGCTGAGCTAAACACCCAGCCCAACATTTTAATTTTAAATGTCATCTTTGAATCATAATTTACCATTTTGGGTCTTTAGATTCACAGTCCAGAAAAATATTAGTCTGCTTCACAGTTTCATTTCACTACATAGCAAAAGGACTACATAGAAATAAAAGGACTACATACCAAAGTAGAGGGAAATTTTACATGTTTTACTTTATTGCATTCATTAATTTAGCTGTTATTTTAAAAGTGCCAGTGAATCTGTGGTAAAACTTTCTCAGAGTAGAGCAATGTTATCATTACTGAATGTTATTTAAACATTTTTTCCTTAAATTATTTTAACACTCATATGTTGTAATAAAAACAAAACTATGGGGAATGTTTAAATAAATAATTTATTACAAGAAAAATGCATTGCTACCAATGCTCTTCAAGATACTTTAAATACTTCCCTGTGCTCTGAACACACCTATCCAGCAATCATGGTAAAATTTCTTTTACTCTCATAGAGTTTTCAATATGAACACTGGGATTATACATATCCTGACCCTTATACTGGAAAACTATTATTAGTATAGCCAATGAAGAGAACTTTAAGTGTTAAGCTTACAGCACATGAAGAAGTCCTTATTTGTTCATTTGAAATTAAAAGCCTTTATTTCAAATGTACACATGTGTTAAGAGACAGACTAATCATTAGTAGGTCTTTCCAACTTGACCTTGAATTGATTCACTTACAACCCGGGGATCTTGAGAGGTTTATTTATTATGTCTCTGGCACATTTAAAAAATAATTCAATGTGATGTACAATTTAGAGATAGTGACTAAATAAAATAATATAGGTAAAATCCATAGATAATGTTTGTTTTACTCATCGCAAAAGGTTAACAATTATATACTGTTATTATTGTTATTATAATAGGGTTGGGGGGGTAGTTCTGACATCTGTGACTAGCTTCTATCTCAAATTCTCAAATGGAATAGGTCTGATGTGTTGTTTTATTCTTATTTAATATGTAAGGCAGAATCTTCAAGAAGATAGTGTTGATGCATTTGAAGATTAGAAATACATAAAAAACATGAAACAGAAGATCCAAATAAATATGGATCAAACAATAAGAATTGCTCATTATGTCAGAACTCATTCAGAGAAGTAAGGTGGTAAGCAGTTGGTTAATTCAGAAGCCTATGTTTTGTTTTTCGTTGTTTGTTTGTTTGGTGCCAGGATCGAACTCACAATCTCATGCTTTCCAGGCAGGTGCTTACACCACCAAGCTAACTACACAGCCCCTAGAAGCCTATGAATTTCACCAAAGATTGCTTATTTCAATCTTTCTTTTAATGTCCTCAGTGTGTCAGTTACTATTGCCAGCCTTGTAAGATACCTAGATTCAACCTGAAACAGCTCCATACAAGGTTGTCGAAAGGTTGGATGAGGGCTGGGAATACAGCTCAGTGGCACAGTGCCAGCCTGGGAAGCGCAAGGTCCTGAGTTCAATTCCCAATAAATATCAATAAAAATAAATAAATAAACTTTAAAAAGATTAGATGAGAAAACATCTCTTCCTTTTGTCTAAAGCAAAAACTATTTCAGGAAATCTTTCTCATGACTATGATTTCAATTACATCCATGTTCATCTGTAGTAAAATTGGGGGTGAAGGTAAGGTACAATATAAGCTACATATAGTTTGGGAAGCAGATATTAAAAGCAACACACACAAAAAAAGGTTAATCAACTGAGGATACAGCTCAATGGCACAAGCACCTGTCTGGCAAACACAAGGTCCTGAGTTTGATCACCAGTAACTATATATATATATATATATATATATATATATATATATATAGTTAATCAGTACAGAACTACTGTGCAGCATCTAGTACAGAGAAGTATTCTGTGAATATGTGGGGAAATTACAAAATACAATAGTGACAATATATCATTGAATAGACAAATAAATGGTAGGAATTATGAGAAACTAAAATGTATGAGGGGAGAAATAGAATTAAGAAAAATGTACAGAATTTTAAAGCAATGCTATCACATTACTTATATATATGTCAAAGTCATTATTCTATATATATATATCCCTTTAAGTACATTTCTCTCAAGGGAAAAAAAAACAGTCATTTATTTTCAGTATTAGCACATCACATGGCAAAAAGTAGTGGGTTTTTTTGGCCTGGTTTTCATCTAGACACTAACATTTTTAAAAACAAACAAGGGACTCCTCGAAAAGTTAAATGATCTGCATTTCATAATTTGCAATTCAGGAGGAAAATTATAATGATAAACTAAGTACTTAGCATGCATATGTAATATTACACATAGATTCTCAGGCTTACTGACAAATGATAAACATAAAAATACACAAACAAGAAAATAAACCACACTTTCATTCAAAGTTATCACAGAAGGTATAAAATTCCTTCCTGTGCCTTTTTAAACTTGAAAATATTGATAATTTATGTATATATATATATATATATATATATATGCACACACACACACACACACACTAAGAATTGAATCAAAATGATCATCAAGAGAGTGACCAATGGATCTGTGAACATTAGCCCTATTATTTTTAACTTGTTTCCATTATAGGTAAAAGAAATATTGAAGAAAAAAATTCAGTGGTATTTTCTGCTGAATACACCATGTTTTTAAAGGCTCTGGCCTCATAAAAATTTTAAAGCTAATAGCAACCTTATAAATAATTTCATCCTAATTTTACTAATGAGAGGCAGGTTGAGAAAGGCTAAGTGATGTTTCCCAGTTCATGTAGCTGGCTATCTGTTTGCCTGGACCGGCTCTTAGCCTTTTCCACCTGTTTTTGGACAGTACATAAGCTCCTTTTAATCTGTTCTCTAATGTGCTGATGTTCTCAATTTTTTTTTTTCCTTTTTCACTTTTGGAATACACAGAACTCCCAAACCGATATTTTAAAGCAGGGAAATAACTTTTTAACTTAAATTTTAAGCATAATCATGGAAACTGGATTCTGTTTTAAGTCAGTTGTGCTTTTATTTGCTCGTTTGGATCCTAATATGTAGGAAGATTACTTCCATGGTAACTGGGAAATCTAAACAGCAGCTCTGTTCCTAACCAATATCCCATCGTTAATGTTATCCAAAAGAATATTTAATAACATAGAACAAAAAGTACAGTAATTATATTTCAAAACCGAAAATCAAAGTGGTTCCAAATTCCTTCCTCAATATCATATATGTCCTTGTAGGGATATTGGTCTGAAC